ATTTCTGTGAAATTGTTCGCAAATGTTACACAGGAAAAAGAGAAAAAGTATTTTATTCTAAATGTTAAGTAATTTGCGATAAAATGAAATTTAAGATAAAGGTGTCAGATTAATAAAGAGTATCGTATTATTCCGTTAAAAGCTCTTTACTTCAGTCTTATCGATACACATAATACTGTGTTAACAGCTGTTAAATAATACAGTTTAAAGAACGTAATACTTCAGGAATAAAGTAGAAGTATTAAAAAAGGAGAGTAACGATAAATATGCGAGTTAAAGAAAGTGGACACGTTTTGTTGTTATTATTCAATATTTATTAATTATTTCTGCAGAAATGCTTATTTTCTTCTTTTGAAATGCACTACGTGTAACTGTGCTGAACTTGTACGAACGATAAGATAACATTTTTGAATAATTGTGATATGAAGAAAAAAAAAAAAAAATGCAGACATCGACAGTTTACATATTTTATCATAGGTTGAATTTTATCGCAGATTAATAAATCATAATACGATTATTTGTTAATACCAGATAAAATTTAACATTGTGACAAAATTTATATCTGAAAAATAAGATTTGCTAAAAGATATATATATTATTTACCGAATAATCCTCAAATGTGCAGAATATTTGATAACTTCCTGAACAGACTGTAATGCTCTTGTAAAATGAATTGTTCTTTTTTCTTCTCTTTTATATTACACGATAAATGGAAAAAGATCTGAGATTGAAGTTGTGAGAAAATACGAAAATAATGCTTATTTTACGTTTATTACAGTTAATCGTTATCCCAAGCAGTTACTGCAGTCAATGAACCGTGTGTTTTCTTACCATTTTTAACATTTATCAACTCTTATAGTGATAATGTAGTATCTAATAGTTTTTACCGACGGAGCGTTGAACTGTCTGAGTTTCATTCATTTAATCCTTCATTAAATTCCTTTTTCTTTTAGCATTGTTCTCGATTACACAGAATGGGCAAATATTATTAGAATACCATTAACAATATACTCTTTACATTATTCGTAAGTCTAATGGTTTCTTACATTAGACATTTTTTGTTAACTTCACAATGTCAACTTTATGAAAAGAAAAAGAAAAATCTTCTTGCCTACATTTCATTAGAATTTATTTTCTGTTGCATAATTTTAACGGGGAAAGTAGTAAATAAATCATATTATAAAATTAGATAAAGCAATATCTTTCATTGTCTCTATTTTTATCGTCGAAACTGTTCAGATTCAACGCGCAGTAAAAAGGATAACGTATTGTTGCATTTTGCATGCCGTTAGTGATTATGCTTTAAAGCACAATTGCGGCGAATATACGAAGTTAAACAACGGATAAATAAAAAGGATATTAAATTTACCAGTTATCTCGATGATTCTCCAGACAAATTCACTTCGAGAGTGAAACATACTCTGGAAGATAATCGAATATTGTTGTCATTCATCGTCCCCCACAAATGTCTCGGTTTAACCGTAGAATGGAGAAGCAGAGACACGTTTATAGGATTAATTGAGAAACGTTAAGTGGAAGAAGACCTGGGACAGTGAGGATTCTGATAGGAACGCGAACGACTTGTAGTGTAATTCAATGGTTAATTCGTCCGTGGCCTAAATTCGACGTTTGAAAAAGTGAATTCTGCTTACCGAACGTTCCTTAAGACTTAATTATTGTTAAGTGAAGTATGGAATAATTACTCGGTGTGGCGTATATCAATTAAACTGATCGATCGGCCTAATCATTCGCAGAGTCAATGCCCTGGACAACCTGGATCTGAATTAATCGACAATTACATGAGCATTAATAGTAACGAGGGTCAAATAATATTAATCTAGGGGTAGTTACACTTGGAAGTAGAAGTAGGTCTTTACTAAACAATACGAACTCTGAACGATGCCTAAGATAGTAGCATAAATGAAGAGATCCTTGCATTTATTATTAGCAGCACATTTGTCTGCGTTCGTTTAAAGGGATATCGATGCACTCCTTTGCGTTAGGTTGTCGCATAAGTTGCTGTCCAAAGTGAAAAATATTTTTATGAAAATTCTAGGATATTCTGTAGTGAGAAAAAAGAAACGGGGAAATTTTGTGAAATGAGAAGAAAATGAGAACGCTTACGTTTTTCTTCTTTTTATTAAATTTGAAAGTTCGTTGGAAATATTGGAGAACGCTTACGTTTTCTTTCTTTTTTTTTTTTGTCAAATTTAAAATTCGTTTGTTGGAAAATGTTGATTTAAATTGTTAACATTTAGGAGGAATTTATGCGACGACCTAATATTATAATTGAAAGATTGCACAAATGGTGTTTTCGAGTGATTTTCTTTCAAGGTATCACGTGTTTAGAATTGTTAATTAATATTATCTTGCTTTCTGAACATTTTCTTGGAGGAATTTGTGCGTTTTATCTGATTAAAAATGCATTTGGTTTCATTGTGTAAAAGTTACTACAGAGTTACCGAAGCATGAAGCTATTAAGCAATATCAAGATCAAAGTAAACCTTTCGTTGGATATTGATAGCATGGTAGAACTTCTGTTATCTGAATTGCCATCGCTCGAATATTCTACTATCTGGACATTCTGTTGTATGAATATTCTATTAAAAATAAAACGATTTTTTTTTTTTTTTTAGAACGTTTTGCATTTTATCTTTTTTTGGCATAAATAAGATTACAGTACGTAAGTACGCACATGTGCAATACCTATGTAATATGCAAAGAAGGTACTCCAAATGAGAATTATTTTTAAAAAAGAGAAATACGAAATGGAGGTTTTTACATTAATTTTCATTTGTGTTACTATTTTTCTCTCTCGGAAATGTATAGAAAATATCGTAGAAAAGTGAAATTTGTTTCTCTGAAAAGTTATATAGTTTCTTAATAAATGAAATAAAAGTTACATACAGTGAAATATAGAATTTCTATATTTTTTAATTATGTGAACAATAGCAGTTCCGCTGTGCTTTTTTCCAAAATAAAACTTGTTTCTCTGAAAAGTTTCTTAATGAATGAAGTAAACGTTACAGCGAATTATAGAATTTCTATATTTTTCCAATAATTTGAATAATAGCACTTCCGCTGTGCTTTTTACGCACATGTCGATGGTAGAACAGAGAAATTGGTGTAATTTGGTAGCGGAAATTGTCAGAAATTGTCGAAAGCAGTGGTGCTTTGTTTCAGCCTTGGTAGGGTCGTTAACCATCGGCACCACGTTCTTTTTATCACCGATTTCTGGCATTCTCACCGATAAAATTGGGATTCAGATGACCACACTTTTGGGTGGTGCACTTGCATCTGGTGGAATGCTACTCTCGTCGATATTTTCTAGCAAGGTAAATAATTGTTTCTTTTTTTTTTTTTATTTACTTTTACCATACGCGTTTAATAAAGTGACTTTGTTAAACCAATTTAATTCGACGCATATTTTTCATTCGTTCAATCTTGCATCGTCAGTTTCACTTATCTTAGTGGAAATAATTGTATATAAGTATATAATTATGCAATAACACCATGTAATTTTGTCTTCGGAAATTTGTTTCTATTTTTAACCGTTTTAAAGATACCAATTGTGTGAGACACTTGGCGTAACATAATTTTAAACGACGAGTAAAATAAATATTTACATTATTGAAAAATTAGGCTAATTTTAAAGTGGGATTTTTGATAGTGAACCTTTTCCATGAATCTTACCGTAAAAAGTTAAATAAAATTACTTCGATTAGGCTTGATTATATGGTAGATTAGGAAACAAATTAATTAGGAACAAAAATTGTACCAAGGCACAAATTTTCATATTTTTGGTAAATATTGTAGTTTCAATAAATTGAGCTTGTAAGAAAATAACTAGAAAATTAGTAGATATTTGAGATCGATTGATCTTTTTCAACTTTATTATTATTCACACGAAAATGTTTGCAATTTTCCAATTAATTTTCGCACCGAACTACATGTCTATCTCAAATAGTAGCGTGTCTTTTCTTGTGTTAAAAAAAAAAAAATCGAACTTTACATTAGAAATGTCACGGTGTCAGGGCGAATAATTTGGTTCTCACTGCAAAGTATTCTAACACGATGAAAAATTTGCTAGGGAAAGGTAATTACGAGCGTGAGCTAAAACGAGCGTGGCAGGACGATTTTCACGAAGAGACATTACCCTCGATATTATCGCATGGTATCCGCGTTGTCATAACCGACTCGAGTTATTTTTAGAATCGCTGTGCTTCAGGTAGCATTGCTCTATTTGACCTACGGAGTTATGTACGGGCTTGGTGCAAGTCTTGCCTACACACCGAGCCTGGCGATTTTGGGCCATTATTTTAAGAGATATTTGGGCTTGGTCAATGGAATCGTCACGGCCGGCAGTTCCATATTTACCACCCTTATGCCCTACTTGATGGAAGTCATTCTTCGTCGTTTCGGCTTAGAGGGCACGCTTAGGTTTTTGGCTATGCTCACTGCCATCGTTATGGCGTGCGCCATTCTCTTCAAACCCATTCCACGTAAGTTTTATCGTGTTTGTACCGGTCAACTTTTTACTTTCTAAGCTTTTCTACGTTGTTTCTTTGTTTAAGACCGAGGCTTCTGAAAATAGGTCAGAGTTTGGGAATTTTTTTTATAGGAAACTGCTAAATGGAAAGTTTCTATTTTTTTCGCTGGATATGAATGAAACTTTCAGCTTTTTTCTGTGCATTTTTTGAAGAAGTTTGAAGTCAATTATTTTGGCAAATTTTTCTATAATAATTATAATTTTTTAGAAAAGCGTACGCTATATTGTAGGTAATACAGTTTTATTTACAAATCGAAAAGAAGTTTCCTCCATTTTATAACATTTTTACCTTTAAAAAATTGCAGAAAAAAGCTGAAAGTTTCATTTATATCCTCCGAAAAAAATGTAAACTTTTCATGTAGTAGTTACCTATGAAACAAATTTCTAAACTTTACCTATTTGTAGAAGTCTCAGTCTTGTTTGGTCACCTGTATAATTACAAAAATTAAGTTTTCATTACTTTAATAATTTGTTCAATCAAATATGTACATCTCATTATTAGCTTAGATAATGTAGATAATTAGGTGACATAAAATCCAAAATTCTCCAATACTTTTTATACGTCTATCTCAAGTAAATTTTCCTAATTTCTATATTTCACGTCTTTCTACAACTAAGAAGAATATAAAACTGTTATTTCACAACATATATGCATTTTAATGTGATACACTTATTAATATTAAAAATCAGCAATAAAAACGCAAATTCTTCTACGCGAGAAGATACCAAGTATCGAGTATCGAATAAACCGAATAGCATTACGTCAAACTAGCATTATTGCTGAACAATTCTTTCAGTTAACTCCGTGCCCCGGGATCAACTAAAATCTAAATCAAACTTCAAAAGCTGTCTGAAGGAAGTGGTGAACGTCTCGATCTGGAGGAAAAAACGATACGTGGTGTGGGCTAGCTCTATTCCTCTCGCTCTATTCGGGTTAGTATCACCACGATGAACGAGCAATTGCATACCATAACGTACGAAGTATTGGGCTGCTGCATCAATTTTGTCCGCTAGAATACTTCTACAATTTCGCGATTTTTCGAAACAGCTTATAGGTACTTACTTCAAACCATGTGTTTTCCATTATTATTTGAACCACTCGGAAGCCAAAATTATCAGCTCCACACTTTTTGATATTCTTCCAATATTTTAATTTTAATTTTTCATAAATAAAGCAAATTTAATGAATTTTATTTATTAAAGTTAGCCACTTTGGCTTCTGAGTGGATCATTTACGACATTTTTCCTCCATGTGGAAATTTTGCGTTATGCTCCTTTCATAAAAGTCTTGGGATTTGTCATTAAGAGAAGAACTTATTGCATTCTTTGCGGTTTTCAAATTATCGAATTTTTCCCCGTCTAAACTGTTTTGCGGCGATGGAAAAATGGGAAAATCTGTTGGTACCAGATCCAGGAAATATCCTCGACGAGGATTAAGTTCCCATTGCAGTTCCCGCTCTTTCGATTCACAAGGGATGATTTTTAAATTTGCAGTTCTCTCAATTCTTGACATACTTCTTTTTATCATTAAATTCCTCTCGCTAGTTTCTAAAGGACGTTGTCCACCTTTTGACCAATGTCTTTCTCTCCGTTACATTATTGCACAAAACTCACATTTCATCTGTCGCGACCAGACGATGGAAAATATCTTCTTTTTGCCCAGCACGAAGTGAAAAACACAGACAGAGACGACACGGTACGGTAAATTTTTCTGTGACACCTCGTTGTGGTAGCAAGTTGTATTTCGAACAATAAAACCATTAGTGTGGAGACTCTTTACGACACTTGAATCCTGAATTTCAAACTCGGATACAATGCAGTAGATAGTCAATTCTGAATTTTCTGATAGGCTGTCTAGTGTACGAACCAAGAGGCGGACAGAATTTACGCAGCAACCTAATCATACACGAACACTTTCGCTGTACGCAACATAAGCAACGATCTTAATCAGCTTTGGCTCGCGTGCCGACGTTCGTTTTTTCATCGTTAACCCTTTGACAGTCTAATAAAATTATGAATTACGATATAAAAAATGTAGATTTTACTAAGTCACAGTTACGATAATAACATCTCCTCGTTTTCTAACTTTCTTCCTAAGAGAGACTCTCTCTTGAGTTGAGCGCTTAATTATTTAACGCTCTACCTGAGTCTCGCACGGGACAAACTGTCGAAGGGTCGAACTGTTCGTTTTCATAATCGACACGCGACCACTCGTTAACATTGAAACGATCGAGGCTGCCGGTTAACGCGAAGAATTCAGGTGTCGCGGAAGCTGCGAAGAGGTTTGCGGCAAGCACCGGTTGCAAAAGCAAAACTGGTTTCTCAACGGCAATCCAGTTACACGAGTGGTGTAATTCAAGCCGTTGGTTGAAAGAAACGACCGCGGCGAGAGCGTGTACATGTACATAGTGTAAAGGATTGAATCGCCGGGGTATTAAGTGACATGGCTTTTCGGATCAATGAGAACGTTCGTTTCAGGTATTTCGTGCCGTACGTTCACATAGGGAAATTCGTCGAGACGGTGTTCAAGGACGCGGACGGTAAGCTGCCGATCATGTGCATCGGAATCACTTCCGGTATCGGACGACTGCTCTTTGGCTATATCGCCGATTTGCCCAGAGTGAACAGAATATTGTTGCAACAGGTAAATCGTCGATTGATTTCGTCTCGCTTGAGTGAAAAAGAGCTGCACGCTCTTTAACCCTTTGATTTGTGATTTTTTCATTTATCGACTGTGCATGTGAACGTAAGCTATTTGGTATTTTAATTCTGTGTGAAGCGAGAAAAGCTGATTTATTGTACGAGTTCAAATGATTAAGAAATGTTAACCCTTTGCGGTTCGAATAGTCCAGTTAGTCTGCGGTCAATTGGCCACTGTTGGACAATATAGTTTGCCTTTATTTCAATACTTCAGCGCAATATTAATTATAGATTATTAAATTTCGGTATAATATTAATGCATGAAAAATGGTCTATTATCGTTTGTAATTTATGATTTATCATCGTATGATATCTGAAGGCGAAATTTAACCACAAGGGGTTAATGGTGAAAATTGAATAAACACTCTATTTATAGAAAATTGAATATTATCCTATTAAGTTAAATGAAAAATACCTTCCAATAGAGTTTTATGTAATAAATGCTTAATAACAATCAGTAATAACCATTTATCAACTTACATTTTACCTCGTTTGTAAGACAAGGTAAAATCCATTTGAAACACCAAATAGAAGGGTTAATAAAATTTTCAGCAATTTAGCACTCTCGTGGAGATAAAGAAGAAAGTTTCGATAAAAGAGTTTCTCTTAAAATGAATTTTTTACTGAAATTGTAATCAGATTTTGTTTGTTTGAACGTTATCATTTTTCCTTTCTCAGATATCGTTTCTTAGCATTGGCGTTCTTACAATGCTCCTTCCCGTTACACCTTCATTCATGGTGTTGTTGCTCATTTCTCTGGCCATGGGGTTATTCGACGGATGCTTTATATCCCTTTTGGGTCCCATTGCATTCGATATATGCGGTCGAGAAGGAGCAACCCAAGCTATTGGATTCCTGTTAGGCATGTGTTCTATACCTTTGACTGTGGGTCCACCTATTGCTGGTCTTCTATACGACCATACTGGTAATTCCGTTTCCATAATTAATTAGTTTGCATTCGACGTCTTTATACGTCTCTATTCCAGCTCCAATTAGCACGTAATACGAATCTTCTTACTGGTAAAACACTAAATTAATTTGATCGTAAGCTGACATATTTCAAACTTTGTTGTTCAACTTTATATCTTGGATTTGGACGTAGTGTTACTTTTCTCGCTATCTCTCTAAGAAATTGATCATCATTGTTGATTCAGTGCCTCGAGTTTATTTAATCCTCCAAGTCCAGGGGTGTTTTAAATTTGTAGAATTTTCTTTTGGGTTAAAATAGTCTAAAATTTGAAAATTATGGATTACTGGTATGGGATTCTGGAGTCTCATTTGGACTTGGAGGGTTAAGAAAGTAATTTTATTATTAGAGACAATTTTGAAGAGGCGATAAGAATAATACAGAGACGTAAATAATTTTCTCAAAATCTACCGAAGGAAAATAGGCTGTTACTTTAGAATGTGTACTATAAAGATTTTTCAATTTACCAAGAAACAGACATAATTGGGTTGCATTTCTCTCTTTTCCAACAGGTAGCTACGATTTACCATTTTTCTTAGCCGGTATTCCGCCAATAGTAGGGGCACTCACTATGTTCTTGATTAAATTCGTGGAGGACGAGGAGCAGAGCACTGTCAGAGAGAATCCAGGGGATAAAGCCACTTGTCAGAATGGTCGGTAAACAGGTATTTGTACATCATTCACATCTAACTAACAGAGTTTGTTTCTCCATGTGGTATCGAAAACACGTGCGTGTCGGTTTGTAAACTGTTTTCACGAAGGCGGTTGAAACTTTCCACGGAAAGCTTTTCGGATAAAATAAAACACGAATCCGCCTGCTGTCGAGGGGGACAGAGCACTTGGTAAAAAAATTATTGAATTCTTCGACAAATTATTATCTGCACATATTGCACAGAATTCATTGCATCTCTTTCTTTTTTTTTTTTGGATATTGCATTGCCTGCTTGAAATTCACCGCATGCTTCTGCACGACACAATTTTTCATCACTGAGAATGTAACAGAATTTTTATTTTGGTGCACGAATTAAACGGTGCTGATGGAAATTAATGCGAACTAATAAACATTGAATTTTTAGAAATGAAGAGAAACTACCTTTGAAAGATATTCCTTTTTTTTTTGTTTGTAAAAGCTGAAGCTTGTTTTAATTTGTGAGATAGATGAAATTTGTACTTTTTCTCTGCATTTTTAATTTTCGAATTCGTTATTGCTTCCGGTGGAGGAATGTTTTTCTACTCGAAAAATCAATACCTCGTCTGGGCTCGAGAAATGAATGCGTTTCACGGAATACGTATTTTTTTTTTTTGGCTTTTGTTCATTTATCTCTCTGTAACGAAGGCTAACATAGTAATTTGAATTAATCGTGGCAATGTAGCCTTGCAACAATTAATTACTTATTACACCCTGCGTTGACAGTTTAATTACGCCTCGGCTCGTTGCTGTATGACGACAACTCTGTCATCCATTATGCGCTATTCATAGTCAGTATTTACTTTTCTCATAGAGGTAATTCGTCTACTTTTCTGCTAATATTCTGTTTCTACGTTTTAAAGACGGAATAGGAATCTTGACGACACTTCTTGCACAGCGAAGTTAATTTTATCGTTCATTTGTGTAAGGGTAATTTTATTCGAAAATGTTTTATTTCAATTACATCAAAGCTCGAACATTATATTACATTCGTAAATAATTTTACATTTTTCGAGCATATTTTAAAATGTATTTATTTTTCGAACGAAGTAAAGTTGTTTATGTTGTAATTATAACGATAATTTTGAAGAATAGAAATATTCATTGGCGTGAAGAATTTCAATTTTTAGAATAAATCTTCGTTTCAGTTTTGCTTGTTCAACTTTCGCTGGGAATACTGATAGAAAAAATGTTTTTTCTATTAATATATTTTTTTAAATATGAAATTTCAATTAACAACGAAAAATGGAACAGAATTGAGATGAATAGTAGTAGGAGAGTAATAAATACAAATTGTTTATCACGAAAATCCTCGTTTTGAGAAATACTGGGACAGACAGACGAATATAGAAGGCCTGCAGTAGTATTAACCAGTTTGAGTCAGGCATTGGTTCCACTGACCCGAACGTTGAGCTTTCAATATGAAACGTGTTAATAAAAAGCAGTGATATTGTTCTTTAGAATCGATACTAGGCATCAAAGTCATGGAAAAGCTTCCATTTACGGGTACCTTTCTTTTATCATAGCCTTTTTCTCTGTTTTATTATTTTCACTTCGTATTTTATCACGTATTCCTGTATTTTAACACAGTGCAGGTACACTTGAACGATACCTACGATTCTCGTATAATTGGCAAATAAAAGTGTCGTTTAAATTATCCTACTTATTTAACACGTTCGTTGCCACCGGAAAATCGATAGCACGCTGCGCAATACGTTCTGGACCGCATGTGCTGCGTCGCTGGCAGCGAACGTGTTAACTCTGGTATCAAGAATTGAATTTTTTTTGTTTTTATTAAACAAACAGAGATTCTTTACAAGAATTTTATATTTTACAAACGAAAGCAAATTTGTATGTTTGCATTAAACAAACAGAGAATCTTTGCAAGAATTTGACAAACCATCTTCATCGTCCTTCTTCCTTCAAATTTTCTATATTTTACACACGAAAAAGAAATTTGTATGCTTGTATTGAACAAACAGAGTATCTTTGCAAGAATTCCATAAACCATCTTCATTGTCCTTCTTCCCCCAAATTTTCCACGAAATTCACACGTGTGAATAAAATTCTCGTCTGTGAAACATTTTACAAAAAGAGAAAACAAGAAAAATGATTTCCAATC